AAAGCCTTCCTTATGTTATCTAGTTAATCTTCCACTGAAATCTCCCCCCCCCCAAAAAAAAAGTATTCTTCCTTTCAGAGAGTTTATTCGGGTCCTCAGTCTTATACTAAACATCGGTATGTGTGTATATATACACACACACATGCTCAGGGAAAGAAAACGCACACACTCTCTTTCAGAAGAAATCCAGAGCAAAAAGTTAAAAAAACAAGGAGAAGAAAAGATAAATAAACTTACCAAAGGGCGCTCCGAGCTTTAGAGAATTTATTTTAAAGCATTTTTGTTTTGTTTTGTTTTGTTGATAAAGTGGAGAAGAAAAACCGTCTTTCTCAACTGCAGCGAAACGATCCAGGGTAAGATTTTCCTTTGCACTGACTCCACTAAGCCCAGCTCTCCACTAGTCTATTATTTTCACCAAAATATATGAAAATTTATGCAAATGAAAATCAGCACTAACTGTTCTCCCCTTGTTATACTTTGGATTTTTTTTCCCAGACAAAGCAATCACACTCTGCAAGGGAAGGGGGGTGGGGAATGAATTGTTGGGGGCGAGGGAAGATTAAGTTTGTCTTTTTTAAAAAAAATTAAAAGCCAAATTCGACTAGCAAGATTTCGGTTCTGTGGGTATGCAATGTTTCAGGAGGGATTCTCTCCTAAAATGTTCATACTTAAAAAAAAAAAAAAACATTATTATGATTAAGAAAGTCGATCTGCAGAGGCGCTATCACGTTTCATCTGGCCACCTGAGACGGCTTTTGAAAGCGTGTACTGTGAAATTCATAGCAGTAATTTAGACAAAATCCTCACTGTACATTAATGAAAGACGGCCCCATGGCACCGTTCCTATCCTCCCCATTCAGTGTAAACAAAACCACGAGACTCACTCGGGTTTTGAGCCTGATCCAAGCAAAATCGGCTGGAAAGGAAAACATGGGGTTCTGGCACGGATTATTCCAAAGACTGCACCTGGAGATCTCCGATTTAGTCAATGAAATCTGTGTTGGACCCTTCCTCTCCCTCTCTCTCTCCTTCTCCGTCTATCTATCTAAGGGAAGGAAACCTCTGGAGACGCAAGTGAACAACAACAACCACCACCATCACCACCACCCCCGCCAAGAAAATCTGTATGTTGAAGGTTTAGTCACCCTGGCCTCTTCCAGCCTGTATACTTCCCTAATGGTTTTTCTAAACCCTGCCGAAGATGGTATCTTTTACTGTACAAGCAGAAGCTGGACCGAGTCCTAAGCAAACCCTGCCGGCTTCCAGCTAATCTTCACATCCCCGCCAGAGCCGCATACCTTCCTCGCTGGCGGGGGGAGTGCTGTATGCCGTGCGTGCCGTGCACGGAAATTCACCTAGGCTGCCTTCTTCGGGAGCGGAATTATGAGCGGGAGGGAGGGGACGGGGGGCGTTGTGTTGCACGGCTCAATGTAAACACGCCGCTGCGTTGGGGTTTCTTTTTATTTTTTTATTTTACCCAGGGAGGGAGAGCGAGCGGGAGAGAGAGAGAGAGAGAGAGAGAGAGAGCCACGCTCGCCCACCGTTGCACTCACAAACGTGGAGAGAGCCATGTTCTGGATGGCCAGGAGCCTCTCGCCAGGAGCTCGCAGCGCCATTCGCACACACGCAACGCCACCACACCAACACACACACACACACAGAGTCCTCCTCGGCCAGGACGCAGCTCCTGAACGTCCGAAGGGCGGTATTGCATCGGAAATCCCCGAGGAGCGTTCAATTTGCCCTTGTTTTGGTTACCACTTTCTCTTTTTTCTTGGTTCACTGAGGTTGCCTGTGCGCCGGGTTTCCGCTTGGCCGCATCGCTCTCGCTCTCGCCCCCCCCCCTTTCCCTCTCTCTCCCGCCCACCTTAACTCTTTCGGCCGGACCGGCAATCATAAACTGTTTCCCATCGCCAGGGCTCTCCCCTAAAATGTCACGGAACGGCGTGCCGGTTCCCCCCGCCCAGATCTCTGGCGTCCAGGGGGGATCCGCCACAATGTCAGTCCGCCGAGCTGAAAGGCGCCGCTGCCCGTGTCTGTTCGAGCCCTCCCAGCCACGTCCCCCCAGCCTGGCGAACTGGCCTCCTCCTCCTCCTCCACCACCACCACCACAGACGCCGCCCGGCAGCCTGGCTTTGGCCTCCCTCTCCCCCCAGGTAGGCGCTCGAGAGAGACGTGGCTGGGGCCGGAGGAGGCCTCGGGAGACACCCGGGCGGGGGGAGGGGAAGCCCGAGAGGCCGGGGAGCCGCCGGCCGCGCCGAACAAAGACGCCTCCGCGGGGGCAGGAAGGGCTACTGCGGCTCGCCGGCCAAAGGCCCGGAGGAGGGAGGAGGGGCGCCTCCGAAGGACAGCTGCGCCCCAAGAGAGGCCGGGCCGGGAGAGAGAAACT